CGGGGGCTGGATTTGAGCTCATTAGTACCTACTTGGACGGGGAACATTCCCTTAAAATTTCAGCTTCCTAGCTTTCCAGATACCCGAGTTATGAACTTACGCGGGAAAAATTTTGGGGGGCCCGCGAGTGCCACGCGGGGTATGGCGCCAGTTTTGGGGATTGGGGCCCGTACGTGCATATAGATTAAGTCCCCAAAGTTTCAGCCCCGTAGCTTTTGTAGGTCTTGAGATGAAAAACCGTGACAGACGCACACACGGACACACAGACACACACACACAGACAACCTCGCGTCAATATGCGTTTTTCGCATTGCATTACTGCAAAAAAGGCATAAGAAGTGTTTCAGAAGTTTTAAAGATACAAACAATGAATATTCCTGGCAAGGAGACTGGAAGAGGACGGGGGCCTGAAATCTTCCATGTGTCAAAATATGCAGTTAGTTTGGCGCTGCTGGCCGACCAGCGTGGAGAGGAACAGAATGGAATTTTGACAATTAATGAAAGCACTGGAAGTGCCATTCAGAACTTTCAAATAAGCAAGCCTGTATGCACAGTGACCTGGTCACATACGAAAGCAGCAAGCTGGATTTCTGGTCAACCAACTCTCACTGTGTTCTGGACTAAACACCAAAAAATTCCAGATAAAAATAAGTTTTAAATGATTTGATTTTCAAGTCTGTGGCCTCCGAGGGGAATTTTCCTCGAAATTTAGGCATTTCATATCTGCAGCTCCGAAATTAAACTATGCAGACCAGCAGACAGACAGACAAACAGACACACGTGCAGACCACAATTCGTTGTCGTTTACTCATATATTAAAATAAAAACGTAAGGCAATTATCGTTATCGATGAGCTCATGTTCCTCCTTCTCAGATTATATGAATTTTCTGGATCCACTGGCCGTATTTTCGTCAGGAGCATTTACGTATTTACTTCTAAAGAAGGCCATTGCACAAAAATAAATCATTCTGCAGCACAATTTATTTGGCTACATGTAGCTAGATTTCTAGTGTTTTCATTAATTATCAAAATTCGGCTGTGTTCCCCTCCCCCCCTCCCCCTACGCTGCTGGGCCGCCAGCAACGCCAAACAAACTGCATATGTGTTAACGCATAGACGCAATTTCAAGCCCCTGTCCCCTCCCCACCGCCACCACCACCGCATTTCAGGCCTCCGTTCTCTTTCACTGGCT